AGTTGTCCTTGTATTTGCCTTGGAGTAGAAATGTTCTTTTCTAGCCCCTTCCTCAGACTGCTTGGATGGGGATACAACTTCATTTATCTCTCTCCTGCTTAGGCAGCTGCCTTTATTGTGGAGGCTGCTGCTTGGTTCCTAGACTACCAGATTTTTTGAGAGAGACTGTGTGTTGAGCAGGTGTCCCCTTCTTTACTGACATTATTAGCATTTTTTCCATGCTGAGCAAAGCTGCCCTCTGCTGATGAGAGAAGCAGGAAATATCAGCAGAGGGCAGAACCTATGGGGATTTTAAAAATCCTACCTTAGATTTTCTTTAGAAGATCAAAATTAGTCATTTCTCCATTCCACTCATTTTAAACAAGTTAGCATAGAACACTCTGAGAGAAAAGCAAAGATCTTATTTTTGTGTGAATGTTCTTAGAATAAGGAAAAAGAAACTTGGATATGTACAGCTATGTTTTTTTTAAAAAACATCACCAACTCAATAGATTATGTGAGAAAAGACTTTGTAACGATCAGTTTAGCTGTTGGCTCTATCTTATCTTCCCTGCTCTATGTTAATCATTGAGATCTGCATTGTGAATGAGCCATAAACTCAGTAATACTGTAAACTTTTGTTTCCTTTACTTGTGACTAGAGAATGCTAATTCAGGAATTTGACAGTAGAACTGCAGATAGTCTGATATAATTTTGCATAGCTTTTTTCTGATTAAATGCTTTTATTGGATTTTAAATAGATATAATATCCAGAGGCAGCTGCAATATATTCTCTAAAATCCTGGCCCCTCCTAATAGTCAGTGTTTTGCCATTAACTTCAATTAGTGAAAGTCCTAACAGAGGTTCATGAACAGCAGCAGCTGCCTATATTGCTTCCGCTCTATTTCTGTTGCTAAACTATAATAAAAGACAGCTAAGATAAATATTTCCCCAATATTAACTTTTATGTAAGCAATTGCTTTGCATGCCACAGAGGAGTTCTAATCATAAATTAGAGAAGGAAGGTCATCCATGATGAGAAGAGTACTGGTTCAGAAGATGTCTGTAGTATGATGTGATCCATATTATGCACACTTTTTTCAAAAAACTTTTTAATAACAAATGATGTACACAGAAGTAAACATAGTAAAGATGGAAACACAATGAATTAAAGAAAAGAAAGTAACATAGCATATATTCCAGATCAAACCATCCATACACAAAACCAGCCTAACTTGTCCCAGTTAACTGAAATAAATGATTTCTAAGGCATGCCTTAAGTCAGGGGTGGGGAAGCTATCTGGCCCCTGGCTTGCCTGGATCCTGCCCCTAAGGCTCAGGGCTTTCTCCCCAGCATTGGGAAGCCTGCAACCCCCCCTGCTGTCCCTCTATGCCCTCCCTCTGCACAGCTGGAGCACACAAAATAGACTACCTTGGGCCCCTCCTAGGCTCTGGTGTGAGGGAATATGGGGCCTTCTCAGTGAGGGGTTTTTGTTTATTTTCTTCTTACCTGTGTGTGGCTCCCACTGATTTTTCTGACCCTGCAGCCCCTGACCCAAAAACGGTTCTCCAACCCTGCCTTAAATATTAGTGTTTTTATGTGGCAAATAAATTGAAATTTTTGCTGGCTGACCCTGGAACACTCTGGCTATGCTGTCCTTGAATTTTGTGGGGGGAGAGTAGTCAGTACAAGCAGACTTGGAAAAAAAAGATGTGCACTGATAAGATATATTATAAATAAGCTGTCAGTTTTCTTATGACAGAAATATAAATTAATTCTTCCCATTCATTCTGAGATGTATTTTCAAGTATTGGCTGCTAGGTGATCACTGCCTAAGCCCTTTTTCTAGATGGCAAGAACAGATTCACATGTGGTCTTCAATGGACTTGCATGATTTTTGGTTTTTGTTTCAGTATTACTTAGTATTAACATGCACATGGTTCTGGGAAGAAAGGATTTTGACAACTTGCCTTTATTAAAAGGTACCAAGCTATATTTTTAAAAAGCCAAGTAGCTAAAGTGTGAAAGCTATCAATAATACTGCATCTTTCTAACCCCCATTTACTCACACTGTGGTGAAGTAGAGGCTATTTGTAGCAAGGCCTCTACCAGTTTCTCCTTTATCTAGGGGGGGGGGGGGGAGTGCGGAGGACAAAGTATTATCGTTCACATCCAGCAGAGGTTAGTAACCATGGCAAACTGAGCTGATCCATAGGTTTTTGGCGTTCTAGGCGAACTATGACTTTGGGCCTCCCCGCACTCAATATAGAGAAAAATAAGATGTCTAGAATAAAATGTCACCTTTGTTCATTTCAAATGCCAAATAAATAATTTAAAAAATATTGTTATTGATTTTTTTCTACTTTTCATTATTCCTAACACAATTATACTAAACTGCCCAATAGGTGACACTTTAAAGTTTTAACCATATTGAGATGTACTGTGTTTCTGGTCAGTGTTATAAACAGTTGTACAGGCAGTCCCCGACTTACATGGATCCGATTTACGTCGGATCCCTAGATACGAACGGGGTGAGGCAACTCCTGCACATGCGCAGCAGCATTCCCGGGCTCGCTCACCTGGGTCCTAGGATCCTCCTCCTCCTCGGGCCGGCTCCGACTGGGGTCCCGCAGAGCTGCTGGGCAGAGGAAAAGTGCCTCCCCCTGCCAGCAACAGGCTGGCCCCTCCCCTGAGCAACAGGCTGCCAAACAGCAGACAAAAGCAGCCTCTCCGCCCCTCCTCCCCCCACACATACTGGCCCTGCCCCCTCCCCTGAGCAACAGGCTGCTGAACAGACAAAAGCAGCCTCTCTGCCCCTCCTCCCCTCTATACATGCCGGGCTCCCGGAGCGCAGCAGCGTCCCCGGGGCTCGCTCACCTGGGTCCTAGAATCCACCTCCTCCTCCTCTTCGGCCGGCTCCAACTGGCCTCTGCCTGCAGCAGCTGGCCACAGGGACAGGGATCCTGCAGAGCTGCCGGGCAGAGGAAAAGTGCCTCCCCACGCCCGCTGCCCCCTCCCCTGAGCAACAGGCTGCCGAACAGCAGACAAAAGCAGCCTCTCCGCCCCTCCTCCCCCTATACATGCTGGGCTCCCTGGGCAAACAAAGACTCCACCAAAACAAACAAAGTGCTGGCCTCATTGTGTTAGCAAAAAAAGGACCCTCCTCCTAGAACCCTGGGTGGTGTGTGGAAATAAAGCTATTAGCTCAAAGCATGGTGCAGAGCTGTTTGGTATTTGATGAGTTACTCCTTTAGTCCTGAGTTTGTCACAGGGACAGAAATAGATGTGAAATCTTCTGAACAGGGGAACAGACAGCAAAACAAACATTAGAGGGGAGTTAACCTTTCCCTATGCTATCCAAAACTAAAAAAAATGTTTGGCTAGAGTTTCCCCTACAATATGTACCAGTTCCGACTTACATACAAATTCAACTTAAGAACAAACCTACAGTCCCTATCTTGTACGTAACCCGGGGACTGCCTGTATTTCAAGTTGCAACTGTCCTCTTTCGAAAGGAACTGATTTTTGGGAAGCTAGGAATAAAGATTTTCATTAATACTGAATGGAAAAATTATAAATTTGCAATACCAGGGGACAATAGAGCATGAAATTCTCTACCTATTGAAACCTTTCCTGGCAAGTTAGTGTACATGTGATATCATAGTAACATAAATCTGTAAATTTTAATTTATTTTAACATTTCAGTAATCACTTAAAACTATTTAAAAATTAAACATAAGGCTAAATTTTGTATTATTATTGAACATTATTGCAATTAGAATGGAAAGGAATGTAAATGTTAAGTGGTATTTATTAACATTAGCAATTAGATGTTTGAAAATCAGGGCTTTACTATTTAACAGTAACAGTCTACAATACATAGTCTTAATTTTACAGGTATTTGTGATTCTCCTTTTACAATCTCATTAAAACCTCTTTTCACATTTTTCAAGTCCAACACAATACAAATTCTTTGTGGGCACAGTGTCTTTGAGATCATGATTTGTACCCAGAGATGAAAGTAAGGGGGTGTGCCTCTCTGGCAAAAACTGGCCGAGCTGCCACAAAAGCCAGCAAGGAGCTATTTAAAGAGCTGGCAAGGACCCCGGTTTCTATTGGACAGTACCTGTAAGAAATTTAACTTCTTTTCACCCTGCTTGTAACACTGCAGAGAGCTGCTGCCTGTCAGGGACTCAACTGCACAATTGGCCAGCGCAGCTGTGCTCCATGATGTGAAATAAATAATATCTCAGCATCTGAAATGGCAATTCTGCACTGTTTTACAAGTACAGTAGACTTCCAATAATCCGGAACCTATGGGACCTAGGTGGTGCCGGATTATCAGATATGCTGGACTATCAGGAGGTACTATAAGTTGTTTATATAATATACTGTATACATTATATACTGTATATAAAGTGTTCTTAACCCTTTTTATTGTACATACGGTATACAGTATACTGTAGTGTTTTCGTTTTTTTAAGCCTTTTTTACCCTTTTTGCTCAGCTGCCGCCGCTGTTACTTTGTGACTCATTTTTTGCCGAAGCTCACTCACTAGGCTCTTGCCATTTTGATGCCGGACTATCAGGAGTGCCGGATTATTGGATGCCGGACTATTGGAGTTTTACTGTACAATATTTGATACTTTTGCTTATAAGCTAACATATTAACATATATTTTAAATAAAGAAAACATTCACTTCCATCTAATTTGGTGCCCCTTAAAGCCTTGGGCTCTAGGTGACTGCTTGGTTTACTGAGATCGCCAGGCGGGCCCTGAGGCAAGGTGCTCCCAAGTGAAAGTGCTGGGTTCGGAATCTCGGCGGGGTGGCCACGGTAGGTTGTACCATGAACAATGACCAGTCACCCCGGGGCACCTGTCCGATGAACCAGAGTCTAGATGCGGCCTGGCTCTGGGGGCAGAGCCTGGGGCTGTGGGGTGGCTCAGGGCGGCTCGTGGGGGAAGCTGGTCTCAGTGCCGGTGGAGGAGCCCGCTCTTGGCCGACCAGGGAGATGGGCTCGTGGCAAGGCCCCTGCCAGCCTCTCCGCCCGTAGCGCTCTGTGACCCTCGCACGGCGGCTGTTACGTTCCCGGTTGAGCTTTCGGGGGGGGCTCTTCGGCCGCGTCTCCACTGGGCCGGGATTTGCCCCTTCGGGCTGGGAGCTGCGTTTTCCCGCCTTCATTCGCATCGTTCCCTGTGGGCATAGGAAGGGTCTGAACTCCCCCCGCTTGCCTGTGTAGCCCCGGGGACTAGGGCGAAACAAACAGAAAACCACAAACCCTCTTGTAAACTCACTATGGAGGTTTGACTTGACTCTCAAAGCGACGGGAGAGTTACAAGTTGGAGTCTAGAAATAGGATGCGCAGCAGACCAGGTTTGTGCGTGTTTTGTTACATAACTTCTCTCTGTCTGCAGATCACGTCAGTTAATCCACATTCATATTGTTTGGCTTTTCTTGTTCTACATCGCCAAGACCGTTGTGCTCTCTGCTGTGTGGCTTTATCCTGTTTAACTCAGGTGCAGAACAAACATCATGAAGGCTGTAAACCAAATGGTTCTCGGTTACAGATAATGTCATTGATAAGAGAAATAGAGATGGTCTCTACGTAGTTCCTGAGATCTTAGCTATTTAACTATGGAGTCCTCTCCCTCAACTAGGCTTGAAGGGCTTATTTTTACTCTCAAAGGTTAATTCTAAAGTGCCATTGATGAAGAGGAACTGCCTGACAGTTGCCTTTGACTGGCTGAATTCTGCAGCATCGTTTACCCAGGACATACTCCAAAATCCATTTGTTTTCATCCTTGACGTTGCTTTCCCCAGGGTTATGGTAGAATTCTGTTACAAAAGCAAAAACATAAAGAAGGAACAATTTGGAATATAAACTGAGCATGATAGGATCTTAACCACAAATTGTTGGACAAGGGGAGAAGAGGAGGTGAAGGAATGGCGTCCAGAGAGAGGCTGTATGAACTTTGGATGCTTTATTGTAACAAGGTAACTATTTTCTTATTTTCAGAAACTTTCTTTGTGTGCCTTAATAGCAGGAGGTATTAGTTTGCTTTGCTGTTCCCTGGATGTTTAATAGATTTGTGAATTCCAAAACAATTATATAACTTAGCAAGGCGGACATGCTGGGCCCAGGGCAGACTTGCTGGGCACCGAGGCAGGGAGGAGAAGCTCTGTGCTCAAGGAAGGGGTGGGACCTCGAGCGGAAGGGGCATGGTTGGGCAATTCAAATGTGGCTATTCAAAAGAGCCCCAGGCTCTGGCAGCTACCACAATAGCAGCAGCAGTAGCTGAGAACACCTGGACCTTAATGAATCACTGGGCCCTGGGGCACTTTCCCCTTACCCCCCCATAAGGGGATGGGGGGCATGTAACTCACCAAAAATTAAGATCAAAATATTTGTTTTCTTTTTCTGCTTAATATATACTAGACAGAAACCAACCCAGACAAACCCTACATTAAAGCATTATTAAGGCTGCAAAGTCTAGCACTCCAAAATTAAGGAATGCCAGAACTAGTTACCTGTGCAACCTTAATTTGGCACTATTCTCTGTATTCAGTATAAGTCTCTATTCCAGGGCTACTCAACTTTGGAAGCTCCGGGGCCCATAATGATACTCACAGCACGTGTCATGGGCTGCAGCTTAAGTATGGTTGCATATATATGCAAATAGCTTATTTTACACTGACCTGTTGACTACAAAGACTAAGGCAAGACTACACAACATGCAGGCCCCATTTAAGTCCATTCTGTTGATATTAATAAAATGCAATATTTACCCAATTTCCACCCATATGATAGCACTTTTAATGAGCAATGGCAGTCCAGGAATTAACTCATGAAACATTTATCAACAGAAGACCATTATATTGACTACTTTTTTGTTTTGTCTTCCACCTGCGGACCTTGTTTTGAGCCTCACATTAAACCCAAACTGCACCATGGGTCACAAACAAACGGCTGGCCACGTGCGGACCACGTGTTGAGTGATACTGCGGGTGATTCTTGGGGTGCTGACAAGGTCACTGGCACCCTCCTTTTTGCTCTCTGGGGCATCTCCCCATCCCATCCTACTGTGATGAGGTGAGGTCACAGGAAACATCTGAAATCATTAACCATTTTAGTTACATTGCCTATAGAGTAGAGAAGATGCACATATGCTCCCTGGGGTGTGAGCCCACAGCTCATAGATTGGTAGGTAATCAAGCTAAATTTCTGTAGTGAAGGTCCTACAAAATTGGGGAAGCCAGAGCACAGGACAAAGCTCACTGCAAAGATTTTAATGGGAGGAGACCTGACTACATTGAAGGGCTTTAAAAACCTGCAAGGGTCACCTTAAAAATCCATTTGCCATGTCATAGAAAGCTACTGCAAACAATGCAGAGTGGCAAAACAATCACAGACATGCAGCTCACTTCTCTGGCATTCTGTAACCAGGAGAGAAATCTTTCCCCAGTTATTTAATTACTATAGTTCTCCTCAAGCAGGTTTCTTTGCTGTTTGTTTTGAGCTTTCCCCTTTGTATAGAGTAGGTCATCCACTGACCTGAAGCCAAGTTAGGCAACATTGTTGTCCTTTAGCTGGCTAGTAGGGGTGTGTCTACACCACAGTCCTGAGATGTGGCTTTAGTTTGGTAGACATAGCTGCACTAGCATGGTTAAAAATACCGGTGTAGATGGCAACAGGCTTTGTGTGGGCAATAGGAGCATGATGGTGGTTAGATATTAGGTACATACTTGGTTAGCCCACACTGAAGCTGGTAGTGTTGTCAACACTGCTGTTTTGAGCATTGCTGATATGGGTTAAGGGTAGCATCTACCTGAGCTCCAGTCACACTTAAGATAGCAGTGTGGACATACCTTGAGTTATGTGGAAAGCGTCCATTTCCCAAAAGACTGAGTCCTAGCTTTGTATTACAGGCAGTCCCTGGGTTACATACAAGATAGGGACTGTAGGTTTGTTCTTAAGTTGAATCTGTATGTAAGTCAGAACTGGCGTCCAGATTCAGCCGCTGCTGAAACTGACCAGCGGCTGACTACAGGAAGCCCAAGGCAGAGTTGCTCTGCCCCTGGCTTCCTGGCTCCGCATGCTCCGCTGCTTTGCTCCGCGTCTCCCTGGTCTGCTGGGGGGAGCAGACCAGGGAGACACGGAGCAGCTTTTCTCGCCCCGTAGGACGCGGGCGGCGGGACCACGGCGCATCTGGGCGTCCCGCCGCTCCTGTCCTCCGGGGCGAGAAAAACCCCATTCATAACTGTGGATCCAACATAAGTCGGAGCTGCGTAACTCGGGGACTGCCTGTATTTTAATCTATAGGGAGATTAAATATTGAGACTCTTAAGGACATTCTAAAATTCTAATCTGCAGGTAATGCTAATGGTGGAACAGACTGACTGCTGGCCTGTTTGTACTTTTTTTAAAGGAAAAGCCTAAATTGAATAAACAGTCAATTTAAAAAACAATCAATTTCTGCTTTATATTCAGAGCCCATCTATCTTCCCATAACAGGGCTAGTGTGTCTGTGCTGTAACATGTTTTTTCTATTTATTATTACATTGTGTGTAAAGGGAATTGTGGTTCTAATATGTTGGTGTTTCAGTCTTGGATCTAGACAGAAATGTGTGAATTTATGGCTGTTTTAATAAATGACGAGTTATTCTTAAGAAAAAAAAAGGCTAAACTACCGTTATTTAAAACAGTTATTTTTTTCTCTGTATTGGAAGAATTTCCTACAAGGTTTAGCTTTATACTGCAGAGCTCGCAGCAAAGCCACCTCCCCAGAAGCAGGGCTGGCACCGGGGAAGCTTGGCTGCAGGCTCTAAAGCTGGCTCCCTGGGACTAGCGATGTTAAATATCGGTTAATTGAATAGTCAAGTAACCTCATGAATTCTTACTGGTTAGTCGACTATTTTATTGTCCCTGGGGCGGGGCTGCAGCCAGTGTGCTCTGGTCTCACACCCGAGAAGACCCTTGCTACTCTGCACTGCTGCCACTGTATCAAACAGCAATGTGGGTCTGTGAGGGGAGCCAGTTTAAAAACTAGCTCCCTTTCAGGATCTTCAGCTGCCTGTTGCCCTGTGCTGCTGCCTCTTGACAACAGCCCCTGTCTAGGAGGTGGTCTGAGCTCCCAGACCTGGCGCGAGCTGGAATGGAACTGAGCTGGGCTGTCTGGCCACCCAGCTCCTAATATGCTTTAAATGCAGAGCCGCAGTGGGGGTAAGTCCCGGACTCATCGCAAGCCAGGACTGAGCTGGGCTGCTGGCCAGCCTGCTAAAAGAAAATTACTGGCAAGTGTGTGTGGGGGGAATGCATTTAGTCTATAGCAGTGTTTCTCACCCTTTTTTTATAAAGTACCCCTTTAAAAAAAAAAATCTCCAGTACCTACAGTTTTCAGACGTGCACAATTTTTTTTCTACCATTGCAACATATTTGTTTAAACAACTTAATCATAGCCGGGCAAGCAATGAAATTTTTGGGTGTAAAAAGTACAAAAATAATAAAGCGCTGTAAAATCTTAAAACACAAATTGTTTTCTCCTAATTTCAGTTGTGATGATATCCCCCCCCCCAGACTTCTCTCAAGTACCCCTAAGGGTACTCATACCACTGTTTGAGAAACACTGGTCTCTGGCATTAACCTATACGCTTTTGCTCATCGGTTAATCGACTGTACTTTTACATCCCTACCTGGAACCAGCCCCTGCCTATGGTGAGTCTCTATTGGTTAACAGCATCCAATAAGCCTCACCCATTAAGGATGAGACTTACTGATTAATCAGTTATGTGATTAATCTTTTACTTCCCAAGTTGCCTCTCATATTTGGGGGCAGATTTAACATGACTTCTGTCTGTTGCTATAATTCAGAGCAAAACCATTTATGCCACGTTTACCTGTTTACTTTCAGAGTAGGGATGTTAAGAAGTAGGTATTTAACTAATCGAGTATGTCACGAATTTATGTTTACCCGGGTTCTGGGTCCTGTTATTTCACACGTCTATCGTGTCCAGATTACCTCGGATTACCCTGACAATGACGACGACTCTTCCCCTCCCCCCCAGTCATGGGCCCCGTAGTAGGGCCAAACTTCTGCTTTGGTATGTGGTGCACCGTTCATCTGCCGGTGGCAGGGAAGGGGGTCCAGGCCCACCCACACTCCCAGACCCTGGTCCAGGGCCCTAACACCAGGAACCTCGTTCCCAGTGGTAGCAGACGCTCCCACTCTGACTCCACAACCCTACCCTGGGCCTCAGTTGACCCTGCCACCAGAACCCCTTTCGGGGTTCTCCTCCTCTCTCGTCCTTTCGCGAGTTCTGACCCCCATACCTCTCTCCATTTCCCCTCATCTCTCTGTTTGTGTTCCCGCTCCCCCTTTTATCCTCTACCCCGCTTTCTCACCCAGCATGTGATGTCACCCTCCTGTCCGTTGCTCCGGTGACATCATGCAATGCCGCCAGCCACAGATGCTCTCCCGCTCCCCTTGCAACTGGCTCGCCCCCTCCCCATAAGCGTCTGGTGACACAGGTTTCCCCATCGTCCGAGTTGGCCTCGCGCACCCCCCCCGGCACCAACCCGACCCGCTTGCTGGGGATAGTGGCGGGGTTGCCTCGCCCCGTCACAGAGTAGTTGATAGACTTTTTGTCAACTACTTGATTAGTTGATAGGCAACTGGTGCAGTCCTGGCTCTTGCTGGGTCCGGGATCAAACACTACTGTGGCTCTGCAATTGAAAAAGCAGTAGGTTTATAATGGTTTTATAATATAGTTTTTAATGTAATCTAGTATAATATATGAAATAATTTATGAATATATTGAAGAATTTATAATTCAACGCAACCTAAGAACTAATGGTATCAAGCAGCAAGAAAGCAAACTATTAAATCCATGTTTATACAAATAATCAGCACTCGGTAAAGTCCAAATCTGATGGGTGTCACTTCAAAATAAAAAAAAGTTAAAAGAAATAATGTTCCATTTTATATAATGCTGTTTAT